GGGGCGGGGTCAGGCAGGGTGAGAGTGGGACAGGTAAGTGTTGTAAGTGTTGTACCTGTGGCTCTGTAGTCCAGGGAGGCTAAACACACCACACCTTGCCCTGGGGATTGCCCCAGAGGGACAGGGTTGGGACAGCAGTTTCTGGATGGGCTTCAATCTGGTAGAGCAGAGCATACCAGGAAGCAGAGCTGCAACTGGCCAGCAGTTTAGCAGCGCTTGAGGCATATGGTCTAGGAATGTGTCAAGGATGAGATCAGGGCTCAGGGAACAGCAGCAGGAAGTCAACGAGGGTAGAACAAGGATGGGAGGGTTGCCCTGGGGTCCGAGGCATGAGCCCCTTAGGCTGGAGGCCTGGCCCCTGGGTCTAGGAAGACCCCTATCCTCTGGAGGTGAGTCCTGGTACCTGGGCGGGCTCTGTGGTCACCATGCAGCCTCTAGCTCGAGGCCTCAATGGACATCACTGCCCCTGAGAACTTATTGACATACAGATTCCCAGGGACTTGTGCTCAGAAATCCTAGCTGGGATCTGGGCAGGGCCTCGGGCTGTGTGATCCGCAAGTGCCCAGGTGGTACTGCAGGTCGACTGGTCCTGCCTATGCTTTAAACCAATGCTTGGGCAGATTGTGAGCCGGGCGGCGGCCCCATAGCATGTATGCAGCGCGGTCAGTTAGTGGGTGCTACCTCTGTCCTGTCTCAGTTGCTCTTTGGGGTCACGTGCGTGTTTGCTGCTTGTGCTGGAGGGTTTGAAATCACATTCTGAGTGTTTTCTTGCTTAACCTGCACGTGTCTCAGTGTATATCTCTAACGGATATCAAGATCAGAACTGTTCCCTGTCCCGGGTCCCCGATTTCTCAATGTTGCCTTTGACAGGTGGCGTGTATGAAGCCTAGGTCTCTACTTACACACACTCCCTTTCTGTGTCACCCTGCCACACACGTTTCCCTCTGTGCCACTTACTTGCCAGAGGGCTTGGGGCATGGCTTGTGGAATTTCTTCTGTCCCAGATATGGGGTGTGTGTAATGTCTCCCTCTGTCTTCTGGGTCTCCTGAAGATGCGGGCCTGGTGGAACCTTGGGTGGATTCAGGATGTGTGTGTGAATCTCTTCTGGGGCAAGGATCTCCTGGGGCAGAGGGCATGTCTTGTGTCTCCCATCAGGGGCTCGAGTGCTCCAGCCGTTCTGCTCTGAGGGACAGAGCTGACCTGTGGGTCTAGTGTTGGCGCCTGACCCTCCCTTCTAGAACTCCGCATCACATTTCCACCAGCCGACTTCCACAGCTGCTACTGGCTTGCCTGACCCAATACTTCATGGGGCTGGAGTAACAAATGACCAAGGTCTAATCCAGCATGAAGGAGACTTCAAGCTTGGAGTTCTGGCCTTGTGGGCTCCAGGAACCATGCCCTCCGTCCCTGCTTCCATCCCCCAACACCTGCCAGAGTGACCCAGGTGAAGGCTCTCAGCCTGATGCTAGAGGGCTGCACTTGTGGTTGGTGCATTTGAGCTGGGGGATCCTCCGTGAGGAGACTTGTATACACACTGTACACTTACCACACACTTACTGCACACATACTCTATACTGTCTGTATAGATACTGCATACTTACTGTATATGCACTGTATGCTTATTGAATACTTACTCTATATACATTGTATGCCCACTGCACACTTACTGTATTTACACTGCATACTTACTGTACACATACTGTGCATACACTATGTACTTACTGTACACTTCCTGTATAAGCACTGTATGCCCACTGCATGCTTATTGTACACTTGCTATATATGTACTGTACACTTACAGCACATTTGTATATGAACTGCATACTTGCTGAACACTGTATATGCACTGTATACTGCACATACACGGTGTATGCACTATATACTTACTGCACACTTCTTGTATAAGCACTGTATGCCTGCTGCACACTTACTGTATACTTGCTGTATATGCACTATATATTTCCTGCACCCCTACTGCATATGCACTATGTATTTACTGCACATTTCCTGTATAAGCACTCTATGGCCACCACATACTTACTCCCCACTTACTATGTATGCACTGTACACTTACTGCATGCTTACTGTGTATGGATTGTACACTGTATGTATATGCATTGTATACTTACTGTATACTTGCTGCATATGAATTGTGCACTTACTGTATATGCTCTGTATATGACCACACACTTATTGTATAGGCATTGTATACTTACTGCACACTGACTGTATATAAATTACATGCTTACTGTATAGGCACTGTGTGCTTACTGTATACTGACTATATATTAATTGTACATTTATTGTATATGAGCTATGCACTTACTGTATAGGCACTGTATACTTACTGTGTATGAATTACATACTTACTATATATGCACTGTGCACTTACAGCACACTTTCTGTATATGAACTGTATGCCCACTGCACACTTACTGTACACTTACTGTATAAGCACTGTATACTTCTTACATACTCACCGTATACTTACTGCATATGCACTGAGCTCTTTTCACACCTCAGCGTGGCTCAGGAAGATTCTTGGAGTAGGGAATGTAGGGGGTTAAGGCTGGTCAGAGATGATGAACAGGGAAGGATGTTCAGGGCAGGGGGAGGTTAGTTAGGGCAGGGGTAGGCTGGTCCAGGCAGGGGGAGGCTGGTCAGGGCAGGGAGAAGCTGGTCTGGGCAGGGGAGGCTGGTCAGAGCAGAGGGAGACTTGTCAGGGCAGGGAGGCTGGTCAGGGCAAGGGGAAGCTGGTCTGAGCTGGGGAGTCTGGTCAGGACTGAGGAGGCTGGGCAAGGCAGGGGAAGCTGGTCAGGGCAGAGGAAGGCTAGTCGGGGTAGGGGGGTATGGTGAGACAGGGGAGGCTGGTCCAGGCAGAGAGAGGCGGGTCAGGGCCAAGGAGGCTGCTCAGGGCAGAGGGAGTCTGGTCAGGGTAGGGGAGGCTGCTCCAGGCAGGGGAGACTGGTCAGGGCAGGGGGAGGCTGGTCTGGGCAGGGGGAGTCTGGTCAGGGCTGAGGAGGCTAGCTAGCCAGGGGAGGAGTCTGGGTAGGAGTCTGAGTTGGTCAGGGCAGGGGAGGAGTCTGGTCAGGGCTGAGGAGGCTAGTCTGGTCAGGGCAGGGTGAGGCTGGTCATGGCCGAGGAGGCTCATCAGGGCAGGGGAGGCTTGTCAGGGGAGGGGAAGGCTGGCCAGGGCAGGGGAGTCTGGTCAGGGCAGAGAAGGCTGGTCAGGGCCGAGGAGGCTGGTTAGGGCAGGAGAGGCTGGTCTGGGCAGGGGGAAACTAGTCAGGGTAGGGGGAGACTGAGCAGGGGCTGTGGCCTGAGTGTGGGTGAGCCGTAGGGTGGATGTTGGCTGCTGTTGGCTGGAGGTGGTTGTGGGTGTGATGAATGAATGACTGGGTAAATGAATGGAGGACACGGCTCCTGTCCTTCCCCCTTGTTGAAGGGTCTGGGGTTGTGTGGGATGGGCTGGGGCCATGGTGGAGGCGGAGCCCAGTTGTGGGCTCTTGGACAGCTGGGGTGAGTGTTGAGCTCCAGGCTGGTTGTGGGAGTCTTGAAGGAGGAGCCATCACATTTGCACTAGAGACTGAGAGAGAAGGCTGAGGTCCTGGCACCAGCCTGACGGGGAACGCTTCGTTGGGTGGTTTCTATTAAGTGCAGCTCATGCAGCTTGCTAGACCCGAGAACTGTGGGGCCCAAATAGACTGGTCTCCAGTCTTACATGGAGCAGAACATCACTGCAAACCACATGCGTGAAAATCAGTACCAGAGTGTGCTCAAGGCCATGACAGCAAGTGGAGTGGGGAGGGGAGGAGGATTGGGAGAGGCTGCAGCAGATGGGAGTTGGTTAGGGAGGGCTTCTCCGAGGAGGCGACGCATGTGTAGGACCGGTAGGATTCCAAGTGTCCATACCTGAGATCCTCTGGGAGAATGCATGGGTGCTGCTGCCTCGGGAATCCCTCGCGTGTGCCCTCTAGTGCTCAGACCCATGCAGTTGGGAAACTGAGGCACAGAGCATGTGGGAACACTGATTACCCTGCTCCAACCCTGCAGGTGCGGTTGGAGCTGGTGCAGCAGGCCCTTCTTGTCCTCCCCGCCCAGAGGTATTTTTAGTCTCAGAGCCCCTTCCACTGCCCGTCATTCTGCCTGACTTCCTTCACCTGCTCCAAGGCGATGTGACAGGCCTGGCACATCAAGCTGTCCTGCTGCAGGAGGAGGGGCATGGGGGGAGGGCAGCTGAGGGTGACCGCAGGCAGCAGGGCGGGTGGGAAGCCTGTCAGTGCTGGGATGACTGCAGCACCCACAGACCCGTGGGGTCAGCTCTGAGTAATGAGGGCGGGGGAGGGGGCTGCTGTCAGTGCCTGGAGGGTGGCTGCGGAGGAGGGAAAGTGGAGGAAGGAAGAAGGGGAGGAGGAGGCAGAAGGAGGGGGCGGGGAGGAGGAGGCAGGCAGGAGGGGCAGCAGAGGAGGGGGTGGAGGGAGAAGGAGAAG